AGGGGCTGCGGCGGGCTGGGGGAGCTCTGCCGGGGGAAGCGGGGACGGGATTTAGGGTCTGTCTGCGGTGAGTGGTAGTGGGGCTTTGTAAGTCATGGCAGGGTACAGAGGAGGGCTCTCTGCCGGGAGGGGTGCCCGGGGCTGGGATCTCTCTGGGGTGGTCAATGTCGGGACTTGGGAGTCCACCCGCCCGGGATAAGTGATGCCAGGACTGAGGGATCTTGTGGAGAGTAAGGGATGCTCAGATCATGGGGTCTCTTTGGGGTAGGCAATGTCGGGACATGGGGGTCTGTCCGGGATAAATCATGACAGGATACAAGGGAGGTCTCTCTGCCGGGAGGGATTCCTGGATCTGGGGGTCTCTCTGAGATGGGTAGTTGCGGGACATGTGGGTCTGCCACAAAATGACGCCAGGACTGAGGGATCTCGCACAGGGTGAGGGATGCTCAGAATTGGGAATCTCTTTGGGGAGGGCAATGCCAGGACATGGGGGTCTGTGGTCTGTCCAGGAAAAGCGATGCCAGGAATGAAGGGTCTCGCACAGGGTGATGCGAGGAGCTGGGATCTCTGGGTTAAGTGATAGCCAGGACAGGGAAGGGGAGGCTGTGCCAGGGGATGAGAGATGACAGGGCATGGGGCTCTGCCTGAGATAAGTGATGTGGGGGGTCTCTCTCGGGTGAGTGATGCCAGGATACGGGGGGACTGTCTTTGCAGTGGGTGATACCAGGACTTGCCGGTGTCTGGGGTGAGGGATGCCACGGTGTGGGGTGTGTCCCTTTGGGGTGAGGGATGCTTGGTCTTGGTGGAGGGGGAGCGGGAGGAGGGTGACTCCAGGATGATGTGCGAGTGTGCAGAGGCTCCTGCTGCTTCTCTAGGGCTGGAGACTGCCTCCCCCCCCTCCATGCAGCCTCTAGCACCAGCTGCTCCCAAACCTGCCCCGGGAGTGCCCAGCATGAGGCACTGCACCTCCTGCCTGTGCACCCCGAGTTCCTCTAGCTCCTCCTGTCCTACCGCTTACAGGGCAGGCACCGATATTGCAATCGTCACAAAACACTGCCTTTTTTTTTAAGTATGACTGTGCTGCTTTTTTTTACCTCAACAGCCACCCATTGCAAATGAGTTCTCTGTTGTTGTTGTTGTTTTTATGCTTGAGATTTACTTTGGTTGTGAAAACATTTTTTTTTTGAAAGACGTTATTTAACCCAAAGGGTTGCATCACTCTTCAGTAAGATGATTTTTTTTTTAAGTGTTTGCTTTGGATTAATAACCCAGTGCTCGCATTCTTTCGAGGGCTTACGTGTCTTTTGTAACCATCACAAGTTGAGCTCACAGCAGCGGGTTGCTCCGTGACCGTCCAGCCTCCCCATCCCATCTCTAGTGAAGTCCGTGGAGCAGCTCGTAGGCATTTCTCTGGATGTCAGAGCAGTTCCCAGGAATGATTAATTTTTCAAAGCAGAGTCTGAAATAAGTTTTTAAATATTTGAGAATTTCAAGTTCCTTTTAAGTAGAAATATTTCCAGCAATGGAGGACCGGTTTCTAGAAGTCTGTTACTAGAGTTGTGGCTGCACCTTTAAAGCATCATTAATCCATTAAATCAAGTAATGTGAAGTGCTGAATAATAGATCAAGGACAAAGGAGATTAAAAAATTGAAACTAGATTAGAACTAGAAAGTGTTACTTTATTAACTATTGCAGGGCATTTGTACTTAAACCTCTTTGATGCATTTTTGACTTCTGATGAATGGGCAAATCTCAGGCGAAAGCTGACACCAGTGTTCCCATCCTCTGTGCCTGAAAGGTGCTTTTCCTTTGCAATTTAAGGACTTGATTCAGACTTTCCTCACTTTAGTGGTGGTTCATGTGCTGATTTCAATTGGCTTTGGAGCTGGCATTTCACCTGGGACTATTTCCTCAAGCTGAATTTTCCACAAAAAATAAATTAAATGGGGTGCTGCAGAGGAATGTCTTTTCTGTTCTGTTCTGTGAATTTTAGGAGTATTGGTATGAATTACACATTGGAGATAAGGTGTGGGCAGGAGCATTTGTGTTGAATATTTTCAAAACTTGTCATGCATTTTTGGAAGGGCAGCCTTAAAAGCTCTGCCAGATGTATAGATTTGTGCATGAGCTTCAACAACAAACTGTTCAGCGCAGCGTTTTAGATACCCTTGCTTGTTAGGATGTACTCAGACCTGTTTTGCAGCTGAGTGGTCACTCCAGGACCAGTCCCACAGAGATGGATGGGGTTTGGGATACATCTGAGAGGAAAAGGGGTCAGGAGCTGGTGGTGATGAACAGCAGAGCCTTTGACTGCCACTGAGCAGTGGAGGGGGACAGCCAAAATCACTGGACCTGCAGTTTTAAGGCAAAATTAGACCATTAGAATGCTTTTTTTTTTTGAGAGAGAGAAAGGTTAGAAAGTGAACTTTATCTAAGTGAACTTTATCTACCTGGCAGGCTGTAGTGGTAGTTTTACAGCCATATGAGTCTTAAAAGTAAATACTCTGTGTGTTTGGACTCACCTGTAGCATAGAGCTGCCTGCTTCGTTAAATTTGTGTTTAGGAGGAGTTCTGGCTGTTTGCTTTATACACACTATTTAATGGCTTGACCCTAATGCAACAGCTTTTCCCTAAATTACTGGCTGAGCCGTAAAGACATATTTTGGTCTGGCTTCTGCTGGTTGAAATAGTGTAATATTTACCCAGTAGAGTACAGTCTAATGGCATTTATCATGTAAATCCCAAGGTAAGATCTGTGAGCTTTTTTTCCTCAAGCAAATATTTGTTCTGATGCGCAGTCTTCCCAGAGCCGTTATCAACCTTTATGTACATTTTCGCAAGTTGCCTCTTTATGCACTGCTGACCAGTGCCTTTGTCTGTCAGACAGGGAGCAGTGAGTTAATTAATCTTACCTTGGAGGTGCAATCACCACCTTCTGCTAATGGAATTTCTCAATGGAGAGATTGTTTTTTTGCATTAAAGCCATATAGTAAAAAGTTTGATAAGTTTTTGGTTAAAAAATAAGCAAAACATGTGTTTCCAAACCCTAACATGTCAATTGCTCCTCATGGCTTCTGGTTTTTAAAACACACCCTATAGATTGTATTTTGGTTTGTGCTTATCTAAGCCAGAAAATTTCTTGGGTAAGCAGCTGAATATTTTTCTGCCTTTCATGGGGAATGCTACCAGGGTAGTATTTTCTTGAGTGTGGACCCTTATGCAGAGCTTTTTCTATTACACACTTAAGACCTCTTTTAGTTACGTGTAATTCTAGATAACAACCGTAGATTCCCTATTTAAACTTCTATTTTAGCTACTTCCACTTGGACTTCTCTAATAAAACTACCATGCAGTCTTGCATTTGCAAAGGCACTCGACCATAAGATATTATAAGAAACTAGAAGGAATAGTTACTTAGAAGTCCTTAAATTAATGGGTAATTTCCTATTTTAGCTTCTCTGTAGGGTAGGATTTCTGCCTGTTTGGTGCACTTGGTCCCTGCCTGAGCTTGTTCAGGCTGTGAGCTGGGACATGCCATGGTCCCTCAATGCTCAGAATTTGGGACTGTAAATCACTGACAGTCCTGGATTCGGCCCTGAGCAACTCCACATGCAGCTTTAAATATCCTAGGCTCAACTCTGAAATGTGCCAGGAGCCCGTATGCTTGGGTCCATGGGGGATAGAAGTATTGCGTTTCAGCCTTAACTCTCGTTACTCAGCCCTAACAAGTTACGACAACTTTTGGGGTGTCAAAGGCAGCTCTTGAGCATCTGATCTCTCCCATTTCTGGGATATATTTATTATTAATTTTATTTTCCTCATGCTGTATTGAAATCCAGGCCTGCGACCGAGACCAGCAGTGCGGAGGAGGGATGTGCTGTGCTGTTAGCCTCTGGATCCGCAGCTTGCGAATGTGCACGCCGATGGGAAATTTGGGAGAGGAGTGCCATCCTTTGAGTCACCGAGTGAGTACGTCACCGCAGGGGGCTGGCAGGGCAGAAAGAAACAGGAATATACTGCGCTGTACATCACATGAAAGCTATATGTAGTGAGAAGGCGGGGAAACATCCCGTGCGTTACAATACCCGGCTATTTGCATCTGTATGGAAATAGCGCTGAAGGTATCTACTTAAGGAAATACATTACTGTCAGAATTATGCTGAAGAGAATCCAAGGATGAAAGTACACGCTTTTCAGTTTGTTTTCTTATTATTTTGTTGTTGCTGTTTTGCTTCATTACTCAACCCTAAACAGCCTTAGCAGTTCCAAAGCCCAACCCTGCTTGTGAGCAGAAGCACAGCAAATGCCACCGACCCCAGTGGAACTGGGCAAGATCCCATCACAAGCAGAAAAATGTCACCAGCTGGTGCTGGGAGATGTGGTACATCACTGCAGCATCATCCCTGCCACCAAACAGCAGTGTCCCATTGCGCTCCAGAGGCTGAGAGCCACTGGTGCCTTCAGAAGCCATTGAGAAGGTGTTGGTGCACGCTTGTACTTAAGAAAACTTACCATGGCTCCTTTGCTTCTGTTCTGCCTGTTAGATTCAAATATGTATTTCTGTATACATATAGACATGCACATATACATAACACCAGTTACATATTAGTGCATTATTATATGGTACACTATATTATTAATATAATGAAAATAACAAATACATTTATTTAAGGATGTGTAATCACATATATTATATTTACGATGAAAAAGGTTCTTTATTTATAAGCAATACAAAAGACTGAATAGGATGTTACCAAGGAGCTTGAGAACCTGGTGGTCTTCAGACCCATCCTCGGGGAAGTGTAAAACCCAAGAGCTGTCACTGGTGAAAAATACCAAGGCAGTAAAGTTAGTGTGTAAATATGCAGCTTGTTCACTACCTCTCTCACTGTCCTGTCTGATGCCTGGCTTCTCAGCTCAGTATCTACATTTTATTTCCCCAGGTTTAGGATTTGCAAGGCTCTGTGTTCTATTACAGTTAAATTTGTACATCTTTTGCTGTGATATTGGGGACCATATTATCTTTCTTCCTATGTAATGTAGCAGGTTTTTCTTCTAAAGGCTCTTCACATTAACATGAGTTTCAGAATAAGAGGAATTGTCTTCTAGGGTTTTTTTAATGAGCTGATTGCTATTGGGCAATAATTTATACTGTCTGATATATTTTAAGCTAATTGCCTGTATAATTACAATCAGAGAAGATGCCTGTCCACCCCAGACTTGGAGTCACAGTCACTGATGATTATAAATTTTATAAGGTTAATTTCAATTTTAGAATTCTCACCCCACTGCTCTTCATGACAAACACAAAGCAAATTGATTTACTGTAGTATGTGAAATAAGGGATTTTCAAGGATGAGAATTTCTCTCAATGATTCCTCTCCCCTGAATTTTTGAGTAGGAGACAGCTGGGAGACCAGTTGCCCTCAGCACCAAAACCTTGTGGGTCAGGTACAAAGCAGGCACCACCACGGCCAACGCCACCACCTTGGGGACCTCCAGAGGAGCCTGGAGATGCCCTGGAGGAGATGGCTGGTGGTTGGGTTTCCACCTTCTGGTCTCCTTCTCAGTAACCAGGTGGCATTGGGTTGATGCCCTTAGCAGTCCCTGTTGGCATTGCAGAGGCAGGGGTTTCAGGCAGGTGAGGTTTGGTGGCTCAGCAGGCAGAGCTGGCTGCACAGGGGTGGCTTTGCAGCCACCGTACACCTTGCAGAGGTGCAATAGGTTCCTTCTCACCTCCAAACTCCCATCGCCCCATGCTCATCACAACGTGGTGCTGGGTGCATGGCACTTCAAAGCACACACCAGCACAGCCGGCATCACCAGCACCAGCTCTGTGCCCCAGCAAAACGCCTGTCCCACAGAGCTGTTGCTGCCGCCTGTCCCCAGCCGGGTGCATTATTAAGTCACGTCTTCAGCGTGGGAGTCCCGCTGAAAGGAACTTCTCCTTGCAGCAAATGTAACGCTTTGAATAAATCATCTGAGCTGTCGGAGGGCTGAGTACCTCTGAGTCAGCCTTACCAGCCTGAGAAGCTCAGGTTTTAGGCTTTTTTGCAGCACTGTGTGTGGGCACCCAAGAGGTGTGATTCCTCTGGGGTGTCCCCTGCGGTCAATGGCCTCCCTGCTCACACTGGAGCAGCAGGGCTATGGCAGATGGTGTGGGGAAGCCCACGGCATCCCTTGCTCTGGGGCTGCTCTTCAGACCATGCTGGGAGGGTTCTAGCACTGGCCCAGGGCACCACAAGCAATAGGAACCCCCCTGCACCTGGCAGGGTGTCACTGGGGGCAGGCAGGTCCATAATGCATGGAGGAATGTGTAGGACTTTCTGCCTTCGACTTTCTTCAAGAGAAATTTTTCACACTGACACAAAACAACCTTGGAATATTAAAATCGCGTGCTCAAAACACACAGAAATCTGGAAATGAGGGAATTGGGGCTGTCTTGGCTGGCATGGGTGGCTTTGTACCTCTGTGCTTCCCTCGCTGCATCCTGTTGGATGCTCGGTGCACACTGCCAGCATCACTGTGTCTCCTGGCCACTCCATCCCACCAGGCTGTCCTGTTGCGCTCATGTTCTGGCAGAGACATGGCTCCTGTAAAAATCAGAGCTTGTGATCAAGTTGTTGAAGAGTGTCAGTGCATGTGCACGCCGTGGTGCAATTAAATCTGTTTAATGAGGTCCATATGTGTGCTCCCTGCAGCACAGCGGGGCTGGAGGAGGGTGGGATGAAATGAGAAACCTCTGCCCTGTGGTGAGGGGACACTGTACAAAGAGGGGTCAGGCGAGGTGAGCTCCAGAGATCCCTTCCAGCCTGAACCACCATGGGATCCTGCGGTTCCCAGGTCCTGCTATGTGGCTGACGGGCTGCTCTGTGCTGTATGGCAACACGGCAATCACGGCAAGCAAAATCCCCTGCACAGCAAACACCACAAAACGTGATGCTAAAAGGCTACTGCGGTTTCACAGCAGACTCCTTTATGAAATGGGAGTAAATAGAGAACATGTGTCACAGATGTAGCTTTACACGGCAACACAGACCATCACATTCTGCTCTTAACTGTGGCTTGACTGGGAAATGCAATGGGTCTGGCATTGCCATCTGCTCTCCAGCCCTTGCGCTGCAGCTCATGGGCATCTCCTGCCATGGAGGGAGGCGTTCCCCATATCCCCACTGTTCACCCGAATCCATCCCCAAGTGTCATCGCCTGCGCTCCCTGTCCCTGACGGCTCTGCTCTCTGTCCCCAGGTCCCCTTCTCTGGACGGCGGATGCACCACACCTGCCCCTGCCTCCCCAGCCTGGCCTGCACACGGACTGCTCCCTCCAAATTCAAATGTTTACCGAACTTCCGAAAAGAGGATGTCTTCTTTTAGCAGGAGCTGTTCTGCTCTGGAAAGAGCAACTCGATGTGGTCTTTTTCTCGGTGTTGTGATGAACAAGGTACTTGCCAAGGGAAACCCCTTCCCATCCTTGCCTGCCTCACCAACATTCAGACTGAAGAAGAGATACTGTGTTGTAGTGGCCAAGGTTTTCAGGAGGGACTCACGCTGCTGGATGCTTTCATTTTGGGGTGAGCAGAATGAGATTTCCTGAGGTGCCACTGCTTTCTGAGGACAGGAGCTTAATGATTTCTGAACCGTCTTGTGGTCTCCATGGTTCCAGCTTAACCCCAGAATGAAAACATCCAAGATTATTGTCAATTTTGGAAGATTTTGGCCATGTTTTTACACTTTGGAATGCTTGAATCAAACTGAGAGTTAAATAATTGCCCAGTGTGAAGCATATGACGATTGTCAAAAAACTGTATTTATATGACATTTCATATCTTTATTAATATAACTGTATTTAAGTTAGGCACATCTCTAGGGTAAAGGTTTAAGCAATAGATGTAGTTTTTACACTTTCTGAAAGCGGCAGGTGGAACCAAAGCATTTCAACATTCAAAACGTTAAAATATTTTGTTATTTTAGTATTCTGAGGCGAGAAGTTGTTGTTACTTGAGCTGGTGTAAAACTACCTGATCATCGCAAACTATGTATTAAGATGTAGTTTATATTAAAAGAGGAACCCTGAAGTTTATTGTAATGGGCTGCCTGACTTCTTGTATATGTATCATACTTGCTGTGTGAAAATTCTGTATCAGAATAATGGCAGAATATTATTTGATTTATTTTAATATTATAATATTATTTTGTCATTGTGGTTTTCCATTTTTATTCAGTGTAATCTGCTATCACATACTCGATTCACCAGAGCTCTTTACAGATATAGATTAGCAAAAGATGATGTGCCCCTGGCTGCTTGTAGAGAAACTCAACGGTCTACAAGGCATGAACTCCTCAACCAAAGAGCCTTGGACCATGGGGAATCTTCACATAGCTAAAACCAGAGGTTTTTCTTGACACATGCCTCAAAGGATCAACATTAGCCTGGCAAATACATAATTTATGGGTTTTCTATGAAATACCGTGCAACTTCATATTTACTTGTCAGGCCCTGGAGTTGGAATTCCAATGGTTCGTGCGAGTTTCACACTTCTCTTGCTCTCAGACACACAAACATGTGCTGGAACTGGGAAAGTGAAGTCATTCACCTTTTGACAGTCGGTGCTTTGCTGCTAATGCTGATGAGGGATTTGAGAGGAGTTGGCATGCTTGCATTAAGGCAAACACCTCTATTACTTAGAGAGACGAGATATGTCCCAGAGACTTTACCAGGTACCTTTCATCAGGCCCTACAGCCTCCCTGAGGAGTCAGAAAGGAACAAGTGTACTTATCATTTCACCAGATCCTTGTGGGTCCTGCAGACGTTAGCAAAAGGCGTGTCTTGAGACAGGGCTGCATCCTCCGAGCTCTGCTCAGCCCAACCCCAGGGCTCCTGCTCCAATGTCAACACATCTCACCTTGCCCTTTGTGCTGGCAACACAGCAGCGGTGCAAAGGGCAACAAACTCAGTCCTGTAGGAAAAAAAACAAGTTTGAGGTGCCACCAAATTTTACATGTGGTTTGCATTGATGTGATTAGGTGCAAAGTGCCTGTATTGGAGCTGAACTCTTAAAAGGGCTCATTGCTAACCCAAAGGGCTAGATCATGCTAGTGAAAGACCAGCTTATTCTAGTGCTAATGCAGTGACCTGTGAGTGTTGCAAAAATTTCCATAACCTGGATTTAAAACAACCCCCAAAGCAGATCCTGTCACTTAATGGTGGGGCTCCCCAAACACCCCATGTACCCACACAATATGAGTTTGCAGGGGAGAAACACACTGGGAGCCTGGGGGTTGCTTTTCTGTCCACATCCATCAGTATAAAATTAGCTTCATAGCATGGACTTCAACTTACACTCAAAGGGAAAGTCAGGAACGAAAATAGAAGCAGCCCAAATCTGTGTGTCCCATCTCTTGCTCCATTGATCTTTACCAAAGCACATTGTCACGGTGCTCAAAATGATGAACCATAGCAGGAAACACCAACCCTGCCTCTCATCTCCCACTGGCATCAATCACCAGTGACTCCGCTGAAGGAAATGATCCTGGTTTATGTCATTGTGAGTGAGTGGACAATTAGAGCTGATAACTGCCTTAGACCTGGCAAGCTGGACTCCCAGGAGAGTTTATCAGACAAGAGCAGAGCAACTTTTTAGTTGTAATTTGTGCCAATTACCTTGGGGGATTTGGCGTTAATCTGGGTGATGAGGACAGCCCCAATTATGTGAGTTCAAAGCTCCCACCAACTCTATAGGAGGTGGGAGTATTCGTGTCCTGCAGATGCTCCTGGACAGGGCATTAGGAAGGTGCTGCTCTAGAGAGATGTGACCCTGTCCTTGTCCTTGAGGGGCTTTTCCGCACCTTCCCTGCTGCAGCCAGCAGCTGCTGGCACAGAAGAGCTAAAGGCAAATCCTAACTGTCCTACATCCCCACCACGTTCACTTGGCAATCGTTATTACCATGGTTCCCCTTTTAGTAATTTAATTCTCATTAACTGATGCTCACAATGTAGGTTAGTTGATTTGAGAGATCATTTTGGAAGAAAGATTAAGCTATTGCATCCCAAATCTTTTCTAAACACTGTCCTAATCAATTACCTTTTCTGCCATCCTTGGAGAGATCTCCTAACCCAAGCACACCTGCAAAGTTCCTTTAATTTCCTTCTGCAGTGGAAAGGTGGGGTGGGGGGAAAGCCCTTTGCCTTTGCTTTACAGTGAGAACAGGCAAACCAGTGACCACCAGAAGTATTTCAAATGTAAATGGCCATGCATGCCCCTCTGCTTTTCTCTTGAGCCAGCGTTTTGCTCAAGGGGCACAGCACATGTACCGTGACTGATGGAAAAGGCAGCCAGTGTCAAGCCAGAGCTGCCATGGAGCGGTTTCTGCAACCCTCAGTTTCCCTCAGCACCACCCCAGCAATGACCCCAGGCCAGGAACAGCTTCCTTGCCTGCCTCGGAGGAAGAGAAGTGAGCAGGTCCTTGCAGGAGGAACCAGGTGAGAAAAGGGACCGAAATTCTTGCAGCCCTGGAAACAGCTTGGTGAAAGGAGCAGTCACAGTCTCCAGCTCTCTTAAGAGCCTCGTTCAAACACTTCCCTCTACTCCACTTAGGAGTTCTGTGCCAACGTTTGGTTTAATTTTCTTAATATTGAAGTAATAATATTAATTATTAATATAAATGTGTGCATTAAATTTTAATATTATATTAATATTGATATTACAGATATGCTATAGAATAATGATGATATCACACCAGACTGTAGGAGTTTCCACATTTATTACCAGATTTCAGGTTAGCAGAGAGCCATTTCAGGAAAGGGCACCACCAGATATAATGAGTCGTTGTCTTAATTTGATTACATGCTTACTAGGAAAGGTGAAGTGAGGTGTTTGAGGCTTGCGGGTCCACAGCTGGCTGGGCATAGCTCACACCTGTAAGCCTGGGGGGCTGGAGCCAAAGTTCTGCTGCTGAATAAACCCAGCTGAAGCTCAGCCTCATCTGCATCCTCCTGCCCACAATCCCTCCAGAGAAATTTTGGTTACTTTTTAAAAAAAGTTATAAATTTTTGGAGTGAGGAGGGTGATATGAAATAAATTCTCTTCGTGGTGTGGCAAATGGGACTCACATCTTCATGGGTGCTTACCTAGGAGGCAGGTCATCCTAACTATAGCCCTGGTTTTGTAGGAGTAGGTGAAGTGAGTAGACCTTACAGAAAATGAGTGGTTGAGCTGGTTGCTGGCAGGATAATGTGGACATGCTTATAGTTATATGGAATGCTGCAAAGTAAGATATAAGGTTTATAGCTGGTTATGTTCTCTTATAGGTGGACTGCAAATGTTAGATATGTTGATACCCAAGACCTCTAGTGTGCTAGGAGATTCTGTAGCATGCTTTTCAAAGAGGAACTTTAGTAATTTATCCCATCAGTGTAATGCACTATAATAGCGTATTATAACAGCAAGTATGACCGCAGCCTGAGGTCCTCGCTGATGCCTCCCCCCACCCCAGTAGCTCTCTGGTTTGTTATTGCTGCACAGATGGATATTCAAAAGAAACAGAAGGTGCTAAGAACCCCTTGATTTAAACAAGATGTCTCAGGATTTTGATCTTGACAATGTGTAGCGTGTTTTCCAGAAGGAATTAGGAAATTGCAGGAAGAGAAAAGACTGTGCAAATACAAGAGGATTTTGATAATAGCAAAATCAATGTGCCTTTCTCTATTGCATAGATATGAAATGCCAATTCAGCGGGGGTACAGCTGCTAGACTAATCAATAATTCTGAGCACACAAATGGAGATGAGTTTAATGCACATCAAACATAGACCAAGTCACCTATCATTTCTCAAGGAGAGTCCTTAGTGTGTGCAGTCAGTCCAGTGCTGTAGGATATGTTTCAGTGATTTAGCAGGGCAGATTCCCCTGTACGATCCAGCGGCCTCAGAGGAGGTTGGTAGCCTTTGGGCCACCCTGCCTGGTCATTAGGGCTGGGAAAGGCTGAAGGTGAAGGGCTGAAGCCGAGTGAGCCTGGTGTGCTGAAGGGAGAGTGGATGGCAGGGAATATAGTGCAGGGAAACAGCAAAGTGTCCAGGAAAGGAGCATGAGCAACAAAACCATATAGCACACTTGTAAACACTCCCATGGCAGGGGTTTCCCAAGGGTCTGAACATAAGATGCTGTAGTATGGGGGGTGAAATGCATGCACAAAGTAACAATGATAGAAAGTCTTCTCTGCAAACCCCAATTTGCCTGGGAACCTGGGTAACTGATAATTGTTCACCAGGAGTGCTCAGAGCATCCCAGATAGGTATTTTTTTTTACCAGATATTGGTGCATTGCTGGCCATGTCCCTGTCCCCAGGAGGTTACAGGTCTTGTAGATGGGATAAAT